TGAAGACTTCTTGAGCCTACATGTTTTTCTGATATCATGATTAATACGTCATTTGATAGACGAAAGTCTTTCCTCTCTATTGTTTTCTTTCCATCGATGACAATCATATAGTGGGTAATTTACGTTAAATTTACCAGTACCTAAATGAAGCAATTATGCATCATTCACGGGTAAGAAACAATGCCTTCAGTAACATATCTCCATATATGTAATGTTAAAATGACCCTGTCTGGAGCTGATTCGTTTACAGCTTTGTCCTTAGAAACCCTTCGTGAGTCCTAAACGGAGTATTACTGTATACGAAAATTGTTCGGGAAGCGTAATCATAATGCGTAAAGCACTGCAGTGAAACAGAGGCTTTTATACTGTGTTAATTGTGATGAAGTTGCCTTTTTAATTTTGTCTTAATATAAAAATGGTTCAGTGTGTTATGTACTGTTACGACAGTGGAAGTCACGTGACGCTGCTAGCGCATGCGTGAATGAGTTTCTCGAATTATCAGGGAACTCCTCGAATTTTGGCGAACCCTCTTCTTTAGTATATAAGCCTGGCGAGAAAAGCCAGCAGCAATGGAACGTATGGTTAAAATGAACAGTAGTCACGGTAAGTTATCGAGATTGTGAGTCGCTGTGATTTATAGCATGTATTATAAAAGTCGTTAAGTTGAAAGTGACGAGAAACGCACTGACAGTGGAATTACTGTGTACTAAAAGTTGTATCAGGAAAGAATAAACGAGTTTAATCAAGAAATGACTTGTATCGCTGAAGTTCCTCAGTTCTCGGAAATAATTTCTACCGGGAATTAACAAACAAGCAGATACGTAAAAAAACATTTAGACGTACACAACATTGCAGCTTTAAAGTCATTAGGACCAGTCTGTATAAAATATTCACTGCTCAAATGGGCAAATGATATTCAAAATGTTGTAGAAGGGAGTATAGGCCTATCATCAGTGCTACCTCTAATACAAGAAATCAAATGAGCAATTATTGTATCTATGACAATGAAATCTGGAAAGATATTTAAACAAATCAGTAGATATAATCTATTTGTACTTGTGCTATTCACACACACAACTACACTACCGGACATGCAATTTCATCACCTGAGTTTAGAGTTCCAGCTACAATCCACGCTTAAACAAAACCTACATTTTAAAACAAAAACATTTATACTTCTGCTGTCATTCCGAAACTGCTGAGAAAAATCTTTCGGCTAAAATGCTGGACAAGACTGAAAGAATCAATTCACGTCATCCAGTCACTACTATTTCTAAAAATAGGAAATATAGTTTTCAGGTGTTTCTGGGCCTTTATAAATCTGATGCAACTAAAGAACGAATTACTTTGTACAGGAAATTCCAGCCACATCATTCGTAAGAAAGTGCAAAAATACGAAAGGTTCGGTTTTATTTGTTTCAAATATTCGCACAAAGCTGTACAAGGACTATCTACACTAGACGTCCTAATTTTATAGTGATAGACTAGAGGAAAGACAACTAGTCAACATCATCCACCAACAACTCTTGGGCTACTTTATTTTAATAGTGAGATTTGATCGTCACTTTTATAACGTATTATAGCTTCTCTGAGTGTGAAAATACAATAAATTAACATATTTAAAACTATTTTACCATATGCAATAGCAAGATAATGACATCTAATTTTGGGGCATATTACTTTATTTATGTCTTGATTTTTATGTTATAGGTAAGCCACAAAAAAGACAATCAATAAAAGGCGGGTGAAGATAGGAAAACAAAATTTAGTTTTAACACATACACACACCATTTCCTGTATTACGAACAAACATAAAGTTTCCCATAGCAACTATCTGCCTGCCTATAGAAGTGTAAGCTTTATGTTTTGTAGTTAATGATGATTTATGAAACCTTGCCATAGCCGTAGGAGGTCAAGGGGGGAATTTCCCCCAAATTCTGACCCAAATAGTTTTTCGGGCAAAAGCTCCATACATATCTATAACTTTTATATTTGCAAATTGATTATGCCTTTTCAGAAAATATATTACCCACACATGACATTTTCACTTGCACTTTTTTAACCCTTTAGCGCTGTACTGTTCCGCGTGGTAGGCATTAGAACCATTTTTTTCCCAAGCGACTTTAAACCTTATATTACACAATTTTAAGGTCGATTTTATATTTTCGTGCAAAACTTGCTTGCTCTCCCCCTATGCCTATGAACCTTGCAACAATATTTTTATACTATAAAGCTTGATATTTATGAACTGACACTGCAATCGATTTTCTGGGGTATTCCAAGTTGTAAATAAGTTATAATTATTTTCTTTCTACTATTTTATGGCAAATGTATCTTGCGTGGATAGAATCGTGAAAGCAAAAATTCCACAAAGTTTTTGAAATTGAAAGTTTGTGACTTTCATCGTGTCTATAAATTCGTTACGAATATAGTTTAATTTAAGACGTTCTTATAATTTTTATAGAATATCAACGAAAATATTTTTACAAATAAGTGAAGACAGTCTTTATTTTATTAAAAAATATGACTAAAGACGAAAATATTTTGACCGAAACAGAAAACGTAAATTGCACATTATTTTTTATTGAGCCTCATAGTTTCGGTTCCAGAAATAAATGCTTATACCTGGTTTCTATAAAATGCTGGAAACATTTTTACCAGTATTATAACGACTTGTCGTTCACGATTGGACTATTACGACAATTAGCTACTATTTGAAATACGACATAATGATATTGATAATGCATTACACTAGTTTTTACGTTTACTTGTGAGATATATGGGCATATCGGGGGTATCGATCGTCCTTTTTTTGTTCAGTTGTCTTTTAGTTGACCAACAGGAGGAAAATACTTTTTATTAGATCTGCTTGTTTAGTTCGTTCTCTAGAGTAAGAAAGCGATAAAATTGAACACCAAATACGAAAGGAAGGACTGTCGATTCGTCCAGTGTGGGTACGCTTGATGGTCTTCTTCTTTTTGTTTAAATAAAGATTCTGTTTGTTTGTTCAAAACGTTTCTAGCCTAGTTATTCATACACTAAAAATGACATCCAGTCCTATTACACAGGACTGCGATGGTTTTATTGTTTTGAAATTTTTACATGTTCTGCAGTAATTCCTGTACGCTGAATCCGAAAATGATATCCATTTTTCTCTATCACGTACAGATTTTCACAAAACATCCTATGTACTTTTACATAAGTCAATCATTTTCATTGAAATCGGGCCATATTTTGTTATGCTTAAAGTGTTGATAATCACTGGCTACAAATTTCTCCAGACCAATCGCGACGCGAGAGTCTTATCAATCGTTCTAGAACACAAACATAACAAACATAATCATAAAAAATGTTCCTTGTGGTAAACTAAATAATAATTTGATCCAAGTAAGAGTTTTCTTTTCTTCTCGATTTGTAAAAAATCCTTACGTGATAGAAAAAAATGAATAATATTTTCTATATCTGCGTAGCTTAATTATGGAAAATCCGTTATTAAAATCAAAACAGCTTTTATGAAGTTTAAATTCGCAGGCCTGTGTTATATCTATTACATAATCCTCATAAATTTTCTGGGCGAAGTTTGCCGTTATTTTCGGAATATCCTGCCTGAAACTTGTCAGGAAATCGGTCCCATCGGTGAATACTACACCAGAAATTAATAAAACTCTTGCAACCAGCCTGTAACAATTTCTTAGAAGTTGTTACGTTAAGTTCTAAAAACATAACATCTTAAACAAGTTCACATTTGGTTCTTTATGTATTAGAACTAATATTTTATGCAAGGAATATATATATTCATATGATTAAAACTGAAAAATCATCAATTTTGTGACACATCAAGTATACTTTAAACATAATTTAGACGATAGCGTCCATATCAGAGTCATTATATTTTTCAACAATAATCTAGGTTATAGTTGTCCATATGAGGGTCATTATGAGTTTTAAATTTTATCCCCTTGTTTCGGCCATTTTAAAAATTATAAATTAACATATTTCACCTAGAAAAGAACTTACCCTGTAACGATGTGTCATCTTGATCAGTTGAACTGTAATTTCTGCTTGTTATTGCGGTTAATCTACGTATTGAATCCATTTTGACGAACTCAGAAATAAAGCGAAAAGAAAGGCGGGCCTGTTTAAATAGCTACTTTTTCCACTACTAGTTTTACTTCTGTATTTGCATGTATCTCCATTCTTTTTAGTTACAACATTGCATAGAAACTTTAGTATATACCTGCATCATTCATTTGAACCCCATACATCTGTTGGAATAACATGGCAGATTTTATGTTTACGTTATCATACCTATTAGCAAATAGGGTGTGCACGTGAATGCTAGAAGTTGAAACAGCACGCTTCAAAGCTGTAGGTCTTTTTCCGGGAAACGGAAACTGGCTGACAAGGCAGAGAACCGTTCAAAAAAGGGAAGAAAATAAAACTACAAACTAATTCCTTACATCGGCAAATGATCTCAAGCTCTTGCCTTTACAAAAAGTAACTAAAGCGTTTAACTTAAAAGGTTTTGTAATCTTTCTGCCCCCCCCCAAAAAAAAACAACAAAAAACAAACAAACTTGTGTTACGACAGCAGGGGTCACGTGACGCTAGTAACACGTCAAATTCTCAAAGGTTCGAATCCTCGAGTGTTTACTAGATTTGCGGTATTCTTGTGTATATAAGACCGGTAAGAAGTGTCGGCAACAATGGAATGTAATTGAACTGCAGACATAGATAGAGACGGACAGTTGAGTCGAGCACGTGAATCGTTCGTTGTGAATTATAGCGTTTGTTATAGCGTGACTGTAGAAATTAAGTGTATTGCAAAGTTGTAATCGGAAATAATAAACCAGTTTTATTTAAGAAAGGACTTGTATAGCTAAAGTTTTTTCGGAAAGAATTTTTACGGAAAATTAACTAACGACCAGAGACGTAATACTTGCCTTCTGACATATTTCTGGTTAAACATATTCTCAACAAATAAGTAGAATCATGTCTGATTTCACAAATAAATCATAACACTACAGCGATATACAAAATATCTTTAGTTTGTTTTTCCGTTGTTAAGCACAAAGCTACACAATGGATTATCTGGGCATCGAAATCCGATTTTTAGCGTTTTTAAACCCTCAGACATATCGCTGAACCACTGGGTACTTCTTGTTCAGAAATAGTTTTAAACCCTCAGACATATCGCTGAACCACTGGGTACTTCTTGTTCAGAAATAGTTTTAAACCCTCAGCTATATCGCTGAACCACTGGGTACTTCTTGTTCAGAAATAGTTTTAAACCTTCAGACATATCGCTGAGCCACAGGAGACTTCTTGTTCAGGAATAGTTTTAAACCCTCAGACATATCGCTGAGCCACAGGGGACTTCTTGTTCTTATTAAGATAAAACATAAAGTAAAATCTACGAAGTTTGAAAATAAAGCAGTTGTACATATAAATCATGTTTCTAAATCAAAACTATTTTAAAATAAAGCAGTTGTACATATAAATCATGTTTCTAAATCAAAACTATTTTAAAATAAAGCAGTTGTACATATAAAGCATGTTTCTAAATCAAAACCATTTGAAAATAAAGCAGTTGTACATATAAAGCATGTTTCTAAATCAAAACTATTTGAAAATAAAGCAGTTGTACACATAAAGCATGTTTCTAAACCAAAACTATTTGAAAATAAAGCAGTTGTACACATAAAGCATGTTTCTAAACCAAAACTATTTGGAAATAAAGCAGTTGTACATATAAAACATGTTTCTAAATCAAAACTATTTGAAAATAAAGCAGTTGTACATATAAAGC